GATAACATAGTCGCCACACATATACACATACACACACACACACACACACACACACACACACACACACACACACAGCATGTTAATGATGCGTGTGAAATTTCCAATACTGCCCAGATGGTTTGAAAGAAACTTTTCCCTACTACAAATAAAATGGAACAAGAAAAAGATATAATTTCCATTCAAAACAGTTTTTAGTACAGTCATTCACGTGCCTCTTCCCTGCCACCACTACTCCTTTACACTCCACCTTGGTGCCCAGCTTTTGCTAAATGATCTGTTCTCTGCAAAGCCTACTGCCTAGTTCTGAATCCAGTCTCATCAGGCTGTCACACTGGAGCAAGACAGTTCCTTCTTCACTAACCCCTCCCTGGGCAGGAAGACCACTATTCCAAAGGAGTGACCGGTTGCCCTGAGAGCTCAGTATGTCATCATTCATATTTTCTAAAAGCTGCATAGAAGTCACTTGTGCTGATCATTTCCCATGAAGCAGTGGTTGCCAAGCTTTATTGACGTGCACCCTCATGAGTAAAAAATCTGAAAAAAACATTATATATGTGGTACATATACATAAAATATAAATATGTGCTAGTAGACACATATGTATAATTTAAAACAAAAAAATTTTTGAAGGATCAGCTATAAATAAACATAAGTTTTAAAATTTTCTTCCCCTTTCCCAAAGAACCTTCATGTATGCAACCCACTTGGTATCTACTGCCTTGGGTATGACGTCTAGAAATAGGTAATACATCAAAGATAATGTATTATTGTCCACATTCTCTCTCCTTTGCTTTTAGTAATGGTCTAATGCAATAAGAAATATTACCCTAGAACTGGGTATACCAGAAGCACAGTTGAGACCTCCACATGTTTCCAAGTTTAGCCACAAACACTGCCAGGCAAGAGAGTGAAGACAGTGATACGGATAAGGAGATACACAAAGAAACAAGAAGCTGATGCCTAGTCCAGCCACAGGATAAGGCTTTTAAAGGAAGAAAGAAACCTGACAAAAAGTATGAATACTGATCTCAGCACAGCACAGCTTTAGGTAGCAGGGGTAAAGAGAGGAGGGAAAGTAATCCACTTTCAGCATTCTGACATGATATGATGCTACTCAAATAATTTTCCCAAGTAGTATATACACAAACAAAAAGCTGAAGGACTATTTTCCTATGAATTAAAATCTTGTTGTCCTCCATGACAGCCTGAGCACAACCACCTCTAAAAAAAATCTCCCTAAGCCTCAAAGTTAGGGTCCCTTCCTCTGTGCTTTTTCAAACCTTTATTGTAATTGTCAACTTCCATACCTGACTTCCCCATGAGAATGTAAGCTCCTTGAGGGCAGTATCTAAACAAAGAGGCTGGCTCACAGTAGGGTGCCAGCAAACGTTGAATGAATTAATGATGAATAAACATCATGCTACTGAAGGAAAGGCCTTACTACTAGAAGTTTATATCATTCTCCAATTTTCCATACTTTTTTTTTTTTTTAAGAGAAAGGATCTCACTCTGCCACCCAGGCTGGAGTACAGTGGCATCATCACAGCTCACCGCAGCCTTGACTTCCTGAGCTCAAGCAATCCTCCCACCTCAGCCTCCCAAGTAGCTGAGACTACAGGTGTGAATCACCAGACACAACTGATTTTTTTTTTAATTTTTTTGTAGAAACAAGGTCTCACTATGGTATAGTCCAGGCATTCTTAATAACACCATTTGTGATGGTCTCTCTTTTCAAAAGACATTCATACAGAAATACTACTTCTTCAGTAGAAAGATCTGGCAGTAGATTATGGTGCAAAATTTATTATTATAGCCCATAGTAGAAATTTTAACTGTATCCATGGAAGAGTAACTTAGTGCAGCCTACCCCTCAACATCTATGAACATAACCATTTAAGAACTTATTAGGAATAAAAAAGAATTATCAGAACCTTGGAAAGAAATTCTTTGTGCAACCAGAAATAATAAAACTTCTGGGGTTCAGCCTATTAGCTATTCTTTTCTGCATAACAGCCCTGCAGGGGATGCTACTATTAAAACTGTATTTACTTCCCATGTCACCTAAAATAATTTATATTTGTAAGGATTCATTCATTTGACTAATATATATTAAATATGCCTAACAAGTCTCAAATACCGTTTTAGGTGTCAAGGAGTTATCAGGGAACAGGACAACATCCCAGTCCTTTGAAGCTTATATTCTAGTGGGAGAGAGACTGGGGGATAAAGTGGAAACAAAAGAGCAAAAGAAAAACCAAACCCCACTAAAATAAACTAATAAGCAAATTCATTACAGACTGTGATAGAGGCATAAAGGAAACAAACAAATAATGAGCAGGAAGTGCTGGAGGTGGCCCCTTAGACAAGACGGTCTGAGTGGTCCTCCTTGAGGAGGTGGCAACTTAGCTGACACAAGCAGCAGCTCAAAGACAGTTTTCCAGGCAAAGGAAAGAAGTGGAAAGGTTCAGAGGCAGCAAAGGACTGCTGCTGTTTTTGAAGAACAAAACAGAGCTCCCTGGTACCACTGGATCTCTCCCCTGCAGAGGGAGAAAATTATACGGAAGGAGGCTGTACACGTAGGGAGAAGTCAGATTATGCAGGGTTTTGCAGATCATGCCAAGGAACATTAATAATGTTCTTTGAAGATGGGGCTTTTAGCAGCAGAAATAAAATGAAATATGAACTAGAAGACTTAGGTCAAAGTTAAGTGTGAGACTTAATCCCCTACTAGCCTTGTGACCACAGGAAAGATACTTCACTGCTCTGCCTCAGTTTCTACATCTATAAAACATCTATTTACCTCAAAGGATTGTTGTCAGGATCAAACTGGATACCGTACACAAACAGACTTTATAATTTGAGGTGTTATAGAAAGGAATATAGTATTGTCCAGAAGAAATAACAGCTACTAAAAGACAGTTACCTGGCAGAGCAGTGTGCTGGTGAACACCTTCGGTGAGAAGCATCGGCAAGAACATCCAGGGAGTAAAGGGGAGACAGAGGATTGAACTGCAGGAATAAAGAAGACTATTTTAGTAAGGCTTACATGAAACAGACCTGATCCTAAAGGGTAACCTACACTTTGATTACTTTTCTGCTTTGACCAACTCTTTTGTCATATCAAATGCAGACACTGTTCAGTAAAGTCACACATATTTAATAGGGTGCCTGTGAATGTACCAAACCTGATCTAGCACACTTCAAAAAAAACAGAAAACTATTCCTTGTTAAACAACAATTTTACAAAAACTTCTGATATACAATAGTCACTTAAATGGCAGAAGACCGTATTTTCCAAGTGATATAACAAGAACTTGTGCCTGATGATTATTAACTGTGTATCAGCCCTTGCTTCCAAGAAGATTACCATGAAATTACCTTTTCATTTCCTTATCCTGGCAAATGATTCCAAGAATAACTGGTTGAAACAACAGCAGCATATTATAGTGGAAAAAGAACTAGACTAAGAATTAGAACACCTTTTAGTTCCAATCTACCACTGAGATACTGAGTGTTAAAAATTATATAATCTCTGAGCTTTACTATCTGCATCTGTTAAATGAATATAACACTATCTGTCTTACCTATATATATTTTTAGAGACAGAGTAGCACTCCATCGCCCAGGCCGGAGCACAGTGGCGCGATCTTGGCTCACTACAACTTCCGCCTCCCAGGTTTAAGCAATTCTCCTGCCTCAGCCTCCCAAGTAGCTGAGATTACCGGCGCCCATCACCACGGCCAGCTAATTTTTTTTGTTTTTGTTTTTTTTAGTAGAGACGGGGTTTCTCCATGTTGGCCAGCCTCCTCTCAAACCCCTGACCTCAGGTGATCCACCCACCTCCGCCTCCCAAAGTGCTGGGATTACAGGCGTGAGCCACCACTCCCAGCCTGTCTTACCTATTTCACAGGGTTATTATGAGGGCTAAGTGAAACATTGCTTTCAGATTATAATTTCAGTTTCTTATTTGCAAAACATCTATTTGACTTCAAAAGGTGGCTGTGAAGATCAAATTAGATACCTCACTTTATGTTTGCTATTTTCTTTGGACTTTTTCCACAACAAATAGTCCTCTCCAAAAAGTTCAGAATTTAATGCCTTCTGACATACAAAGACTGGAAGAATCCGGAATGATGACTTCAAACTTATTTTATGAGAATACAAACTAAGCAACTGTCCTATCTGCCACAGAGGTTCCAATCTTGGTTCTACTAGCTGTATGACTTTGGGCAAATAGTTTGAATCTTATAGATCTCCAATTCGTCATCCGCAAATAGCACATCTGGACCAGATGACTGCCACAGGTCCCCTTCTGCCTTTAGATCCTCTAATGCAGACATGATTGGTGCTCTAGCTTAACATTCCCCAAACTGCAATCTCTCGCATACCATCTTCATGACTTTCCTTACCTGCCTACAACCTGTACTACTGCTTATTATTTTTCCTCATATCAATTATTTTTGCACAGCCTTGTCCTTACTATATTTCCATGAAATAACAAGTTTGATATAATTACATGTTTTCCTAATGTACACCATAATACATAACTTAAAAACTGTGTGTCCATATGTCATCTAAAATCATCTCATACACATACACCAGTTATATCTTCTACCACTCTAGTTCATTTCAAAACAGCAAATTCATAATGAAGATTCCAAGTCTAAAATGTGTATCAATTCAATAAGCTACTAAGTCATTTAAAAAAAAAAAAAAAAACAGCTGGGCATGTGGCTCACGCCTGTAATCCTAGCACTTTGGGAGGCTGAGGCGGGCAGATTGCCTGAGCTCAGGAGTTCGAGACCAGACTGGGCATCATGGTGAAACCCCTTCTCTACTAAAATACAAAAAATTAGCAGGGCGAGCCTGTAGTCCCAGCTACTTGGGAGGCTGAGGCAGGAGAACTGCTTGAACCTCCGAGGTGGAGGCTGCAATGAGCCGAGGTCACACCACTACACTCCAACCTGGGCAAGAAAGCGAGTTTCTCTTTCCAAAAGAAAACTCCAACAGCAACAGATAGGAAGCCTAAAACATTTTACCTGTCAGTGTTCATCTATTTTACATCTAATCACCAAGATAAAGCAATCTTCCAAAAAAAATCACTAAACTTTACACATAAAGAAATATATCGATAACCACTGGAAGTTAATTTTTAAATTGTGAGCCCTCTACATAGGCCTAAATATGCCAAAGGCCCCCTCACAGGGGTAGCTAGGGAAAAGACTAAGACAGAAAGGCTCTAAGGCAGGGGTCCCCAACCCCAGGGCCGCACAGCAGGAGGTAAGCTGCCAGCAAGCAGCCACTCACCATTGTTGGCATTACTGTCTGAGCTCTGCCTCATGTCAGATCAGCAGCCACTGAGATTCTTACAGAGGCACAAACTCTACTGTGAACTGTACATATGAGGGATCTGGGTTGCATGCTCCTTATGAGAGACTAATGCCTGGTGACCTGTCACTGTTTCCCATCACCCCCAGATGGACTGTCTAGTTGCAGGAAAACAAGCCCAGGGCTCCCACTGATTCTACATTACGGTGAGTTGTATAATTATTTCATCACATATTACAATGTAATAATAATAGAAATAAAGGGCACAATAAATGTAATGCATTTGAATCATCCCAAAACCACCCCCCTCCCTCACCATGCCCCCGACCTGGGTGCATGGAAAAACTACCTTCCACAAAACTGGTCCCTAGTGCCATCAAGGTTGGGGACCACTGCTCTAAGGCTTTGACCCCACTTCACCCAAAGCAGCTCTACTTTCTGCTTCATGTGTTTAGGCTTCAACATAGTACTTCTCAACGCAGGAGTCTGATGTTGAACTAAATCATACGCAAATGAGATTCATTCTGCATTCATACTGCAAAGTTCAAAACTAAAATAAAAACAGGATTCCTATGAAATATATGCTACAAGAAACTAATGATCACAGTTGAACCTAAAAAAGGGAATTAGCTGCAGTGTTTACCAGTAAGTATTGGATACTCTTAGAAAACCACTCTCCAAGAAAATCAAAATAACAAGAAAGAGGAAACCTTACCTCATGTGTACAAGCAGAAATGTGAGGAAAATCAGAAGCCAACGCTTTATTCTTTCTAAAGAAAAGGAAACCAAATGATAAAATAAAGATGACAAAGAAAAATGATCTTACCTGATTTCGTTCTCTTTTCCCAGCTGATGGTAACCAGAAACTAAAGAGAGGGAGAGAATAACAGGAAAGAAAACAATAAAAGAAGTGGTAGGAAAATTACAGAAAGGAGAAGAAGATAAGATGTTGGAATAATGAAGACAAAGAAGGGAATGGAGAAAAGATGTAATCAGAGAAGAAAGAGATTAAATGTATGTGAACACTTTGCTAAAAAAACAAAAAAACCTCTTCAAAGGAAAAAGGCTTGCAATGGAATGTAAAAGACTGGACAACAGAAATAAACCCAAGACTACAGTGTGACACCAATACCCTCTCAGCTGTGCCTGACAACAGGAGCCTCAACTCAACAAGGGCATAAACCACACCCACACTTGTATTTTGTATGTTAAAATTAGCCCAGGCTGGATGTGTACAGGATCGTAACTGGGTACTGAGCATGATGCATACAGGATAGATGAAAAAACCAACCATGTTAGGGGACAAGGCTGTCCCAAGAAGTGGCAGAATTATTTTCCTGTGGCTACATACAGCCTTCCTACAGCATTCACCACAGTAATTAGGACAAAAAGATATTCTACAGGTTAGGCACAGTGGCTCGCACCCATAATTCCAACACTTCGGGAGGCCAAGGTACACAGACTGCTTGAGCCCAGGAGTTCAAGGCCAGCCTGGACAACATGGCAAAACCCTGTCTCTAAAAAAAATACAAAAACTAGCCAGGCACAGTGGCACGCACTTGTATTCCCAACTACTCAGGACGCCAAAGTGGAAGGATTGCTTGAGCCTAGGAGGCAGAGGTTGCAGTGAGCCATGACGGCACCACCATACACCAGCCTGGGTGACACAGCCAGACCCTGTCTCAACAAAAAGAAAAAAGGAAAAAAGAAAAAATATTTCCCTATAAAAAGGTCTAAAAATGGGAAGAGAATATAGGAGGATAGAGGCAATCATGCATTTCGGAAAAAAAATTTAGAGACAGAAAAATTAGTCTAAAATAAACATCCTTACTGGAGGCTACTAAATGCAGCATCTGTAGGTATAAAAAAACAATACAATGAAACTAGTCTAGGAAAGAAAAGAATATCACGGTCACTGGTTTAGGATGTTGCCATCTTTAACTGTTATAAAGTACAAATCTTTAAGATCTCTTTTAGCTCGGAAACCTGGTTTCTAAGTTGCTCCATAAGACTCCCCTCTACCTCCTCCTCTAAGGAGAAACTAGGACAGCCAGTAAATACATAAACACTTACTCTTTCTGCCGAGGGTCACTAGTGATATGGTTTATCCTCTCAGTACCCAAAGTGTTTAAGCTGGTCTCCTAAAAAGACAAAAGCAGACAAGAGTAACATCCAACCACAGAAACAAACATAAAGCACAATATGTCACCTAGCTCAATCTTTCCCATAACTGTGCCAACCAAGGCAATCTGAAAAGGCACATGTCAAAAGTGAATCTTAAAACAGCAACTATGTTTCTTTTTATTGGAATCTATCTTAAAAGTATTACATGTTATTCTAATTTATTATTCTCTAGTGATCCAGAAGTTTTTATAAACACCATTCACCATATTTGGTGTTTTAATATAGTAAGTAATACACCTCCTGGAACTACTGAAGTATACAGGAGTAAAAATACTGTTTTAGAAAATACAACAGTAGCCAATTTTTAACAGGCCAGCACACCAAGCTCCCTAGAGCTATGTGATTATAGTTCCAATAGTCTTCATCCTGGGACATAACCAAATCCTCACTGGTAAAACGTAAATATCTGCTGACTAAATATAAATACATCAGAGGACTTCTGTGACTTGCAAAAATTGTTACTCTGTACTTTGTCCCTCAAATGTCATCTTATGAAATAAAAATAGAAGTTTGTATAAAATTTGATTCCTAAATTCAGGGTTCTCATTATAGTGTAAAAGCTTACCCATAACACCACAAACAATTCAGAAACCAATCATTTCCAAAAAATTGGAAAATGGCCATTCCCTCTTCATTTAACTTGAGTACATTCACAGTGCTTATCTACCATGGCACCTGGGAAGGCATACCAACACACATCTCAGTAACTGTTGTGTTGAGAGAACACAAGTCACAGGCAAGAATGTCAAGAACATCAAGGCTATTCTTCAAACACATTTGAGTCTGGACAAATGTTATTATCTGTATTTAACTATATGTGTGGACTGTCCTAAACATCAGGCTACACATTTCAGCAGAACAACTGGCTATAGAAAAATGAATTCGAGGCCAGAGTCTGGGCAGGAGTGGAGTTAAATGAGAAGTTTTCATATACTGTATTCTTCATATTCTGCATCCCTTATGGCTATGCCTACTGATCACAGACACAGACATGGTAGGGGGGTCAAGGGAAAAGATGGGTGAAAAATGAGCTATTTGTTACAGCAGAAAAATTATTAACTTAAAGTGCCGTAATGTTTAAATTTACAGTTTATTACTGTGTAAATTACAAGCAGTACTTTGTGTAATTAGCAGCTCGCTGGCAGGGAGCTGTGAATGAAACTCATTATTTATGATTACAATTTAGAAAAGCAGAAGAGAGATGGGGGAGGGGGAAGAAGGGGGGTAGAGCGGTGACCTCTGCTAGAAATGATAAATATCCCTTTAAGGTGATGAAGATGAATTAAACAAGTAAATATTATCCTATTCATTTGAAATCATTAGAGGCACATCCAATAGGCCTGGAGTGGCTTGCTTGCATGGAAGTAGAAGTCTCTCATTTTATAAAAGCTGAAAAAAAGTAACATAGGTGGCAGCGGGAACATTATCTGTCAAGCCTAAACAATAAAAAGTAAAACCCTCTCCTTCCTCCACCCCATGACTGCTATTCTGCTAGCTATCCTGTTAACAATAAGCTCCTGGAATAGCAAAAGTAGCATTCTGTCTATAAAATGAGTAATCAGAAAGGTATCAGTCTTCCAACAATCAAATGTCTTTCTAATTCAAGATTTGAACTTGAGGCCAGGCACGGTGGCTCATGCCTGTGATCCCAGCACTTTGGGAAGCCGAGGCCAGCAGATTGCCTGAGGTCAGGAGTTCGAGACAAGCCTGGGCAACATGGTGAAACCCCATCTCTACTAAAAATACAAAAATTAGCCAGGTGTGGTGGTGGGTGCCTGTAATCCCAGTTATTCAGTAGGCTGAGCAGGAGAATCACTTGAACCCGAGAGGCAGAGGTTACAGTGAGCCGAGATTATGCCACTACACTCCAGCCTAGGCAACAAAGTGAGATTCCGTCTCAAAAAAAAAAAAAAAATTGGGCTTAAATTTAAAAATATGAAGAAATAAGAATTTTGAGCTTGTCTGGAAATAAACAGCCTCATTTCTTTTGCATGTCTAAAACTTGAGAAAACTCCTCCCTGGTGAGACGATAAAACAGTAGCACCCTCTTAAGGGTAGCCAGACTGTGGCACACAGTGCACCACCTAGCAGGCATTCTAAGCGCTTACCAAGTGAACAAACAAAATGCTCTCAATGCCTCTCCCTTCCTTATTCTTTGGCCACCACCATCTTCTCAGACTGAGGATGAGCCCCTGTCTTAATTTCTCAAAGTGGAATAAAAAATAAAATTAAATAAATAAAAATTTTAAAAGATAAAAGTAGATCTGGGTTCAAATCTCTTTTCTGCCACTCATATCTGGGTAACATAAGACATTACTTAACTTCTTCGAACCTAAGTTTTCCTCACCTGCTAAAGGGGACTTGTACTTTTTCTACAAGGTTGCTGGAAGAATTAAATGAGCTGAGTGCCTAGCACCATCCCTGGCAAAGGCAGAACTGAATAAACAGCAGATAGTTCTCCCTCATGGTCAAGGAGGGGCTCTTGAAACTCAGTAACAGATTTTTTTTTTTTTTTAATGAATTCTAGGATGAAAGACCAAAGTTAGGAAAGAACAATGATGCATTCATGAATTCAAGAGGAGTCATAAAGAAGCCAAGAGTATTTTAACTTACACAATAATAACATAACATTAATAAAAAGTTACAGAAGAGACAGATAAGCTTGTAGGTCTATAGGCAAAAGACACTGTAATGACAGTGTTTTCTTAGTCAGAACTTCTGTATGAATTACATTTCATATTTTATTTGTATATCCGTTCACATTCTATATAATGTTCACTCTTGTAAACTCCCAACACATTCCAGTTGGCTCCATTAATGTCAGGGAGTTCTGTAGCACCTCTGATTGTTAATAGTGTACACAATTCCAACAGGGAATATTATCTCCCCACTGAGCCCAGTAAACTGTGAGAGGTATCACCTTCCCAACCAGCCTTCTTCGCCCCTTTCTGAGGCATCGAGCTGCAGCTCCAGGCAGACGATTCAAGCGAGCATGGTACCCTAAAAAAAGAAGAAAGGCTTCAGATCCTGAATGCAGAAAATCCATAAGCAATCATATGTTTCTAGTAAACTGAAGGCTTTACCCCCAGGATCTTACTAGACTGACCTTTCAACTAGTATCACAGAGCTATCTGCCAAGGATTTATTATTCCTATGTCTTTGTCACCAGCAGTATGATCACAGGCATGCCATTTACCTTTGACCTAGGCATCCTCCATCTGTAAGAGGGACAATCACTCAGTCCTACCTTACTGGGCTGTTTTAAAGACCCAATGAAATAGCAAGTAGAAGGGACTTTATAAACTGAAAACACCACACAAATATAAGTTACTACTAACAATGTTTAATTTTAAATTAAATGTTAGTTTCTACGCCAAAAACATTCTAATTCACGACAGCACAGGGAAAATAGCATGCATCAGATAACCCAACTTTTCTCATTGCCACATGTGTTCTACACAAGGTAAGAACAACTGGAGGAATCTACACCAAAATGTTATTAAGAACATTGTCTCTGGATATGAGATTACAGGCCATTTTAAGTTTCTTCTTACTATTTCTGCTTATTTGTGTATATTTTATGTGATCCATTAAAAACGTCTAGAAATGTTCATCAAAATGTTCAGTAAAGCAATGTGTGCCTCAGCCAGTCTTTACCAAGAACCAACTGCTGTGAGATGGCCTTTCAACCACCCAAATTCACCATGACAAAAGCCTACATAATACAAGTTTACATCTCACAGTGTGATTCTGATCACCAACAGATGTTCAACAAATTACTAGTAACTGATTAACTGGTTGATTATGGAGTTACTGGGAACCCTAGAATGATAAATTTATAGCACTAAAAGAAATGGTTTAGTCCAATGTCACATATCTTAAGTGATGGCCCTGACATCCCAAGAAAATGAAGTGACTGTTACAGAGCTTGGTAGACAGTACCAGAGTATTAACACCACATTTTCATCTCTCTGTCCTAGGTTCTTTCCACCCACTTTGTACATCATAATTGAAGAAAAAAAGCAAAGGGAAAATGAAACATCTTTGTTTTAAAGTCCCCAATAATAGGGTCATTAAAATAAAACTACTTAAATTTTTTTAAAAGCATCCATTTTTAAAACACTATTATATGTGAATACTCTTACTGAAAATAAAAATATGTACGCGGATGTTCTTATTGAAATCTGTTCTCTTCCAATATCCGAAACTCAATAACCTATCAGTTTCAAAGCAGCTGTCACATGACGCTAAGCTCCCTAAATCTGGCACAAATGGCAATGGCAAGCTGAAGGAATGTCCTGCTAATCTATGTCCCAAGAGTCTCCATGGATTCGTTTAGGAAGGAATGGAGAGAACCTTAAGCTTTGAGACTTACCCTGAATCTCCTAGAAAATCCTTGAGCTAGCTCCACAATGCAGACACTTAATGTGTGCTTGAAGGCATGAGTATGCTTGCTATGTGATGATTGCTCTGCACAAACAGAAGCATAAAAGCATGAAATTCTTGGTCTCCTCAGAACTCACCTCTTTGAGCTGGCCGAGAAGGTAAAAGGAATGTGGAATCTGAAAATTTATCCAATCCAGAATCCATTCTTTCTACTTCAGAGCAATGATCAGGAGCCCACTTAGGCAGAAGATTAGGGACAGTGAATCCTGGGACACATTCTCCTTCATAGAACCAATCACTCTGCTCATCATCACCTAAAGTAAAGAGATCATACCATAAGCTACAATTTTAAACAAGGTCTGAGAAAACAAATGGGAGGGATGATTTCTTAGTGCTATAGTTTCGATCATCCTTTTTTTTTTCCTTTTTAAGACAGGATCTTGCTCTGTCACCCAGGCTGGAATGCAGTGGAGCAATCACATGTTCAGGCAACCCTCCCACCTCAGCCTCTCAAGTGGCTGAGACCCCAGGCTCATGCCACTATGCCTGACTAATTTTTTTCTTTTTTTTTTTGAGATGGAGTCTTGCTCTGTTGCCCATGCCAGAGTGCAGTGGTGCAATCTCCACTCACTGCAACCCCCACCTCCCCTTTCAGGTTCAAGCAATTCTCCCCGTCTCAGCTTCCTAATTAGCTGGCATTACAGGTGCCCACCACCATGCCTAGCTAATTTTTGTATTTTTTAGTAGAGATAGAGTTTCGCCATGTTGGCCAGGCTGATCTTGAACCCCTTACCTCAACTGATCCACCCGCCTTGGCCTCCCAAAGTGCTGGGATTACAAGTGTGAGCCACCACACCCAGCTTTTTTTTTTTCAATTCTTTGTAGAAACTGGGTCTCCTTACGTTGCCCACACTGGTCTTGAACTCCTGGGCTCAAGCAATCCTCCCACCTCAACCTCCCAAAGTGCTGGAATTATAGGCTGATTACACTTTTAAATAAACCAAAGCACACACACACAAAAATTGTTCTGGTCCTTCTTGACTCATACTACAACGAAAACTGAAACATAAACCTGGTTTCACATAAATATCATACTGTGTTACTCTGGACTGCTTTAATAGTAAAAAATAAATAGATGAAGCTATCACTTACTAAGCCCTTACAACGTACCGGCATCCATGCTAAAAATCTGTAAATATGTCATCTCTTCCAAGCCCTACACTAACTCCAACTTACAAACAAGGCAACTAAAGCCCAGAGAAGTCAAGGTCAATTTAGTAAACAATGAAGCCAGGATCTGAACCCAAAGCCAGACTAACTCAAAAACCTGAGATCTTTACTACAAAAATAAACTGCCTCCCCTGTACCATTCTCAGTGGTATGAATAAACTTGGGGATTCAAAGTCTATAAATGTTTCTCAATTCAAAGCTAGTTATTCCTGAGGGATTTCTTACTGTATTTACCTTTCTCATAAAAGGTGAATAAACAATGTATGTCCATACTTCATTTTTTCTTGATATCTCATTAATGGGACAGAAAATCATTTTGAGACTAGCAACCCAAGCTACTGGGGAGAAAAAAAATAACCACAAAAACAAATAATATAATTCCCAGAGGCTTTTCAATAAATCATACCATTTTCCCAAACCTATATTGTTAATTAATAGCAAAGTCACAATTAGATCCATATATCCAGACTGTTGGTACAAACTTCTTTCTACTGGCTACAACGATAATATCTCAGTTTCCACTAGTTTATTCCTGCCAACAAATAAGATAGATAATTTTATGTCAGCCACACCATACCCCTTTCAAAATAGCAAAGATAAAGGAAATTATTACAAGAATATCTAAAGAGTTCATAATGCAGTCATTCTCTAACATACTCTGGATTCCAGAGAAGTTGCTCAAAACATGTCAATCACACGAAGTATGAGATTCATGGGTCATTAACACCCAGGATAATAACTCTTAAATCACTGTGGTGATCTCCCAAATGGGAAATGAAAACTGCATTCTGGTAAAAGGCAGCAGATATTGCCACTAAGGAAGTCACTCAAAGTGTTTCCTTATAAAAATACATCACACATAGCTCTCTGATACAGCAGTTCTCAACTTTGAGCATGCATCAGAAGCACCAGGAGGGCTTGTTAAAACACTGAGCGCTTCCTTCAGAGTTTCTGATTCTGGTCTGGGCAGACCAAAAATGTGTATTTCTTACAAGTTCCCTCATGATGCTAAGCTGGCCTGGGGACCACATTTTGAGAACCACAACTCTAAAAGCATCTCACGAAACCAGATACATGGACAAATTGAAGACAGTAATTAGTGTACAATAATTAGTTTCTCTGTACTTCAATATATTAATTCTTTCCTTATTCATAAGCATTCTTTAGGCCATTTATTGAAATAGCATATTTAATTAGGCCATGTTTTCTGATGACAAATGGCTGACTATAATGAAATTTTTTTGGTTCTCAAGCATTAATTCAAGATTCTTAATAATACAAAAAGGGATTCACTGAACTGGAAGGAACATTGTAAGATTGCATAGACCAGTAATCTTCAACCTGGGTTCACTAAGATGCCTGATACAGGAGCTCCTTAAAAGAGCGCTGCCAAGAGCCAGGCACGATAGCTCATACCTGTAATCCCAGCACTTTGGGAAGCCGTGGCAGGTGGATCACCAGAGGTCAGGAGTTCAGGACCAGCCTGACCAACAAGGTGAAACCATCTCTACAAAAAATACAAAAATTAGCCAGGTATGCTGACAGGCGCCTGTAGTCCCAACTACTCGGGAGGCTAAGACAGGAAAATCGCTTGAACCCAGGTGAGCTGAAATAGTGCCACTGCACTCCACCCTGGACGACAGAGAAAGACTCTGTCTCAAAAAAAAAAAAAAAAAGTGCTGCCAGGGAATAAGCAAGAGGCTGGGTGGATCAGGCTCCTAACCTCTGGCTCCTCCAGAATTTTGCTTTAACCCAATAGGCTTAGTTGTTTTGTAATCTGAGAATCTATGTATGATTTTGTTTGGGGGGAAAAAAGGAGAGTTTTCCCTGGATTTTCAATCATTATTTATTAAGCATTCACTATATGCCAGGAACACGCTAGGTACTATGGTTGCACATAATAAGTCCTACCATGAAAAGTTTCAAGGGAAAAGGCACGTACCTAGAAACGATAACATAATCTAGTGAGTAGTATAAAAACAGTAAGTATAATACAACGAGCTACAGAGCACAAGGGAGGAGGAAGGGCTATTGGCCAGAAACCCCTCAGCAAACACATGGCACATTTAAATGGGGTCATCATTGCAGAGATTTAATGAAGTGACTGTTCACAAAGGTGGAGACAGTACTAACAAGGAACCCGACAAGGGATGGGGAAGCACATCAGGTGAACCAGTACAGCAGGAGGCCTTTACCATTCCTACACCTGGAGTGGCAAGGGAAAGAATGGTTATCAGAGCCCAAAGAACTGCGGTTAAAAGAGAAGGCTGCCAAACAAGAATGGTGGCCTTCAGCAGAGGAACACACCACTGCCAACTAGCAGGTCAACAGAAAGGGTGTCAGGGAAAGCCATAATCTAATATGGTAGACTACATTGGCGTTTCCAAGTCTTCCCTATAATAGAATCGTTCATCCATGCCTTTTGCTCTTTGCCATTGGATTCCACAGTACCCTCCCTTTTAGGAACAGCACGCTTCCTCATCCTACTGACACTGGGCTTGGTCATAGGACCTGCTTTACGTAGTAGAAAATTAACAGACATAATTCAAGCAAAGGCTTTAAATCTGTACATGTGGTCTAGCCTGGGTCACCTGGCATTTACATTCTCTGCCATAAGAAGTCCATGCTGCCTATCACCATTGCTCCTTCCGCCTAGGTTCCAAAATAAAATACACTGAATAGATGTAAACCTAACTTGAAGCCTGGAGACTAGCGAAGCCCAGGCAAGATCAATGGAACCATAGGCAACCCACAGTCCATGGTAATAAATGAGTGTGGTAAACTGTGATGAGCCACTAAAATTTGGGGGCTGTTAAGCAGCCTTACCACAATAAAACTTGACTAATATATCCAAAATCACTCACCTCCCTCCCTTCGGTCTTCTGCTGATGCCTCCTAAAGGCCAACCTCAACAAGAAATTGAAACCAAGAAGACCCACTGATACAGTCCATAAATATGCCCCTGCAGGGGCAAAAGGAGAACTGTGTCTTGATAGATGACCAGCCATTCAAGGAAGATGAGATATCAGGCAGAAAGACCAGCATAAACAAAGGCACAGAAGCAAGGAATCATATAGCTTTATGTGGAGAACATTAAGCAACGATGTCACCAGAATGTGTGAAGCTGAGGCAGAGAAAGAGAGGAAAGCTGGGTCTACAGAATATTCTATAATCTTTCTTAATAAACTAAGGAATCCTTATCAGTGAAAAGGCTTTCCAAAGGCCCTAAAACTTAATCTGCTGTCCACACTTCCTTCCACCTCTGTATAATTATGCATCATAATCTTAAGAGGTGTATTTCGATACTCTTAGCACTATAGAAAAGCAAAGAAAAAGAGCAAATATTGGTAACTCTGAATAGCATGTGTAACTCATTCATGGAATGACACCAGACTTTCCTGGTATGAGATAATAAAATCAAAACTCTAGTTGGAGCCTACCTGTACACACACACACATAATCGCTAATGACACGTAACTCCCTCAGAACCTAAAAGACAGAAAGGTACTCACAACAGCCTCCATTATAGTAGGAAGCTCAACAACTCCAGGAGGAGTTGAACAACTCTTAAGGCATGAACAAGATGCTGTCCCCACACTCCCTCTCCAAAAATCAGGAATTGAATGCTAAGTCTCACAGTCCCAGGAACCCTTCAGTTACTGGGGAGCCTATCTGGATCAACCTAGCCACCTGTCCTTTAATTGCTTAACCGATGGAGAAAAATTTTTGGATTTTGGAGCTAGAAAAGACTTTAGAAATCCTAAGTCCCTTATTTAGATTAAGAAAACCACAGTCCAAAAAGGCTACATAAAAATTTTATTGGCATGTGGCCCCACATAAGTCTAGAGGACATTTTATAAAATACCCTTATATCTAGACAAAGGTTTAAATTAGTGTTTAGGTAGTAAAAATAAAGAACTGGTAATTAACATATACCAGCCTTATTCACAGGACTCCAGGAGTTATACTCCAGGAGTTTTACTTTGAGGAAGATGATGTTCTATATAATATATTCACCTGGAACACTGTAATCATTTATAGGTAAGTCTATAAAAGTGACAAAATTTTCTCTATATGAAAATAACAATGTCTTAATATCTAAAAAAAAGACAGTAACACAAGGCTATTTCTTGATTCTAATAAAAAGAAACTTTGCCACGTCCCAGGCTCGACACTGACTACCTAGACCAGTGATTCCCAATGTCTGATCTACCTGCATAAAAATCACTTCAGGTGCTTGTGAAAAATGCAGATTTCAAAGGCCAACTCTAGACCTATTTGATTTCTGGGAGCTCAGGGCTCTGGGGTTTTAACAGTTCCCCAGATGGCTCTCACATGCCTTAAAGCTTGAGAACCACTGCCACAGACAGTCACCGTATTCTCCATGAGTCACTCCTATGATTATTCAAATCTTTCCATAAACAGAACCAATGTCTCAAAGCTGGGATCAACATTACCTTGTCGCCCTTCATCATTGGTAAAGAGCCCAGTGTCACTGCTGCTACACACACTGCTGGTTTCACTGTAAAAAGAGTAAAACACAAGAGAACTCATCAGCTCTAGTCAAAAACAAAGCACTGTACACTTATTTTGGTTTTCAAGCTTTCCTAATTTTACTCCAGCCTGTTAGCCAATCAGATATGTAAATTTCATAGGGAAGCTACAAAGTTTTATTTTCCTCCCTCACCAAAAAAAAAAAAAAAAAAGAGAATTCTAAAATTTTCACTTATATTTTAGAGTACTAAACAAAATCTAAAGTCACTTTGTTAGTTTAGGACTAGGAAATTAGTTACTAAAGCTCCAAGAAGTTATTTCAACCTAGTTTGGTGTATTAAACAACACAAATTTACAAGTTTATCAAACAATTTTATTTTTAAATGTTGCCAGCTATCAGTTTCAAATGAAGCTATATAACTTTAAGACAGCTAGCATCTTTCAAGTGTTTTCCTCATTTACAAAGAAGTAAACAAAAATCCATGAATAAGAAAAAAAATGGCAAAACTTGTATTTTCCGAATTTACTATCTTCCTTCATATTGAGCAGTTACACAAAACTCATTCTGAAAAAAGAAACTGAAGTTAAAAACAATAATATTGCTCACAGTTGATTCTGTTTCTTCTGACAGTGCGCTTCTAAATTTGATTTCTCTGGTTGAAGAAAAACTTCTCAATCCTCTACAGTATTAGCTATTCCTTGATTGGAAGTATTTTCTTCCAAGACAGTCATTTTTTTTATCACCTGCTCTAGAAGATGCAAGAAACCAAAGCAAGGAAGAAGCATTTTCACCATGCTATATAAAAAACAGGCTCGGCAAAATCCCAATCTATATTCCTGGATCAAAAATCTGAAAATATTTTGTATTTTGCAACATTTCCAAACATCCTGCCAAACTAAATCTTAAGAAAGCCAATTAAGAAGCAATGCTTTTCCTCACTCAAGTTTGTCTCTGAATACCAGATGCAAAAGATCTGTCACAGAAATAGTCAATAAAACAAATCCTATTTCTTTATTTTTTAAGTTCTGGTATACGTGTGCAGAACATGCATGTTTGTTACACAGGTATACATGTGCCACGGTGGAACAAACCCTATTTCTTTATAGATTCTTTCGTTTTATTTTCTTATGAATTTAGTATAAGTTGGGCCACCAACTGTACTGCCTAAGTATTACAACATTGCTAGAAAAACAACTGAGTCACATCAACTGAAACAACAGTTAGTGTAAAGAAAGTCACCTTAACCTGCAGCTCCAAAGGCTTTTGCTCCCAATGTTTTACTATGAAATTTTTCATCACTTAGATTGCTTTCTTTGTTTTGTTACACATCTCTGTCTAACCTTCCCAACAAAGCCTGCTTAAAAGCAGAGGTACTCTAGGTAAGCCAGATGATTGGGTGTGGCATCTACTTTCTTTTTTTTGAGACAGAGTTTCACTCTTGTTACCCAGGCTGGAGTGCAATGGAGCTGTCGCGGCTCACTGCAACCGCCACCTCCTGGGTTCAGGCAATTCTCCTGCCTCAGCCTCCTGAGTAGCTGGGATTACAGGCACGCGCCACCATGCCCAGCTAATTTTTGTATTTTTAGTAGAGACAGGGTTTCACCATGTTGACCAGGATGGTCTCGATCTCTGACAAATATGTCATCACAGGAATTGAGCCTAATAAAACACTATGGATACCTCTTGTCCACTGTTAGCTAAACACTGTAAACTTGGTACTGACTTGAAAATGGTTTCATCTCAACTGCTTTTCTTCCAAGTTCTGTTTGCCCTTTCAAGGTACAATTAAAGGGTATTGTTTTGAAATTAGCAAAAACTCTCAGTTTTAAAGCTATAGATCAATGGTTTTTTATTCTATATTCTTATATTTTTATATTCTATATTCTATAGATCAGTGTTTTGGTTGTATTATGTTCTGTAATTTGAAACTCAAACTTACTGGTAAAAGAAGAGTCAATAAAGTAAAAACCCAATCTCAATCTCAGTACCAAAAACACTAAGAACTATGGTTCTCAACTAGAGACAATGGTGCAGCCCCCTCCCAAGGTGTCATCTGGCAATTTCCAAAAACATTTGTGGTAGTCATGACTTGAAGCAGGGAAGGAGGAGTTGGTGAACTACTGCCATTTAGTGAGGAGAGGCCAGGGATGCTGCTCAACATCCTGCAATGTGCAGCACAGCCCCAAAACAGAGAATTATCTGGCCCAAAATGCCAGCAGTGCCTAAGGTGAGAACCCTGATCTACAATGATGAACAAAGCAGAGGGCTGGAGGAAGTAGGGCATTCCTTTTAGGGAAATAACTTGAGAAAAGAGGAGGCTGTGCACATTAGCTGGATACAGCAGTCAACATCCCATAAAAACAACAATACCACTTCCTTACCAGGGCTGGGCCAGCGCCTCAAATGGTCTGAAGCATCCAGATCCAGAAACAATCAGAAGGCAGCTGGACCATTTGACAAACTGGTAGAACTGAAACTACTCAGGAGTCGCACAGTTCACCCTTCCTTGCCTAACCCAGGCAGAAAGATCCCGTCACCGTGGAAGAGAGTGATCTCGGCAGGGAAAAAAAAGTATCTTGCTCATCTCAGTGTTCCCAGTGCCTAGCATAGCGCCTGGCACATAACAGATATTCAGTAAATGTTACGTAAATGGAATGAACTTGTTCTAGACACCTCTGTTGCCTGCCCTTATATGGCCTTTCTGGTATGTCACTTCAACTCTTTAGTCCTATTTTCCTACATGTAAGATGTGGATGGATTATTGAGGATGTGATAGTATGAGGCATATGACCTCACTTTCTGAACTCTAAAGCAATACACAAATGCAAAGGATGAAGGATTAGAAAGCTACTTCCAGGGCGCTGAGTCTGTGTCTAAATATTATTTTAGAGGTTAACAGTGGTAATTTCCTCACTGACAACCTTCTCATTAGAACAGCAATCTAAATTTTATGGGATGCAAACCTATTTTCACTTTAAATGGAAAAACAAAATATGGCCTATAAAATCTATTATTTTTCCTGCACTGGGTTTCATCCAAGAGAGGAGGCACTGCTCTCAGCCAAGATCTACAAGTGTCTCAGGAAGGGGTTTGGTACTTGAACTGAGTTTATTCAGAAAATTATTAATACAGAAGGCTACTATTAATGATACCAAAAATATCATTCACTGAGTTCTACTTCAGGCCAGGTAATATACTAAGCACTTCATCATATTCATTATTATGCTTCTCCTACCTTCAAACTCTACATGGTAAATACATCAACCTCATGTTACAAATGGAAGGGGCTTTAGAGAAAGTACACAACTTACCCGACACCGCACAGCAAGTAAGTGTCAGAGCCAGGGCCGTGTATGCCTAAAGCCCCTGCACTCACTGAATGGCCACTACCACATGGACGGCACAGATACTCATCTCATTTACTAAAGTCAATCCTGTGGTTCTCTATTCAGAAGATACCTTTGAATTTCAGGACTTTTCATTCTCCTGAAAATGTAAACAGATTAACTGACTAGGGAATAAGTGTTCCTTCGCTTTTAGCTACTTAAAACTTTTAGGTACAGCTAAAACTGTAGCTGTGCTTTGACTACTATCCCTTATCAGCAAATAATACATCACATATGCTGAACCCTAAGAAAACTAATTATAAACTCACTTTGGAAAGAAGCTCTCCCTCTTAATTCCATATCTTGAATTTAAATAACACTCATCTTTGGCATACTGATATAAAATACACCAAAATATACTCTCAGGGACCCATACTTCACTTGCCCTTATGCTTCCTGAATGTTCTTCCTGTGAAATCAAAGTTAAAACATTATTTTAACAAGCTGAGGAGAAATACCAAAGTCTGAGAATACTTTTCCTGACTTTAGCATCACACAAGGCTAGGAAAAAGTTTTCAGAAGGCCAGTAGTCATTTGTGATAACCAGACTCCAAGATGACTCCCAATTATCCAGCCTCCCATTAATGCACACCCCAGTGTAGTACCTCTCACACTGCACCAGGGCTGGTCTATATAACTGACCGCATATGGCAGAAGCAATAGGTTGCCACTTCTGAGATTAGGTTATACAAGACTGTGGCTTTCATCTTGGGCTCTCTGTCTCTCCTCGTCCCTCAGATCACCTGCTCAAGGGGAAGCCAACTATCATGTCCTGAGGAGGCTGATGGGCATGTGGAGGGGCCCACATGAAAAGGGACTGAGATTCTAAGTCCAACAACTTTATGAGGAAATGAGCTCTGCCAACAGCCACATGAGTGAGCTTGAAAGCAAGTCCTTCAGCCTCAGTCACGCCTTGAGAGAACTGAGGCTTCCTGCCAGCAGTTAGGCCATAACCTCGTAAGGAGACTCTGAACCAGAACCACCCAGCTAAGTCACTCTCAGATTCCAAGTGATAAAATGTTCATTGTTTACAGCCAGTAAATTTTTTATATTTTTATTTGTTGAGACAGAGTCTTGCTCTGTTGTCCAGGCTGGAGTGCACTGACGTGATCTCGGTTCACTACAACTTCTTCCTCCCGGGTTCAAGCAATTCTCCTGTCTCAGCCCCCCAAGTAGCTGGGACTACAGGCACACACCACCATGCCCAACTAATTTTCATATTTTTAGTAGAAACAGGGTTTCAACTTGTTGGTCAGGCTGGTTTCGGTTTCCTGACCTTAGGTGGTCCACCTGCCTCAGCCTCCCAAAGTGCTGGGATTATACCCATGAGCCACCATGCCCAGCCTCCTAGAGCTATTAAGTTGTTTTTTTTTGTTTTTTTGTTTTTTTTTTGAGACGGAGTTTCACTCTTGTTACCCAGGCTGGAGTGCAATGGCATGATCTCGGCTCACCGCAACCTCCGCCTCCCAGGTTCAGGCAATTCTCCTGCCTCAGCCTCCTGAGTTGCTGGGATTACAGGCACGC